TTACTCAAACATTAAACCATAGCAGAGCTGACAATAAACCATCTTAACATTTCACAAGTTTTATTTTAGCCTTCTTTTTATTTTAATGCAGTCTGTTAATTATATTTGCCTCTAATCTCTCTCCTTTAGTCCAAGCGGTGAGATATGGGACTCCTGATTCTGTTGTGTGTCTGCTTTTGTTGGGATAAGATCTCCTGGTTTTGTCTCCTGTCTGTTCTCATCACCTTCACAGCTTAAACCAGAAGTCACCTCTTCAACAGTTCTCTCTCTCTCTCTCTCTCTCAATTCATCTTCACTTCTATCAGCAGTCTCGTCTTCTGCCAACTGCTTAGTTATGAAATAATTATCCTTAAATCAAATGTTACAAATGTTGATGAAAATACTGATAGTTTCTATGTGGGATTATCTGCCATAGGGGGATATATTGCCACATAATTTTTCCACAATTCTATCTTTATAAACTGAATAGTCGTTGATTTGTCAGGTCGGTGCTTTGCTGAAATCATTCCTCACATTCTGCAACTTTTTTACCAAATGATGTTCTTTTTCCTGATCTGAATCTCTGTGCTTTTCTTCATATCATACACCTGATTTTCTCATGTCTGTACTGTTTTTATGTCTGTCCTCCTCCCTCTCTGTGTATTGATACTGTTCTGTGATAGCCGGCCCGCTCGCGCCCCCTCCCCCCTCCATGCAGATCACCCCTCAGCTGCCTCTGATGGGCTTTGTGGCCCGAGTTCAGGAGACTAGTAAGTGGCTTTAAGCCTCCTCGTCCCCGTCCTGCATGACAGTCATTCGTTTGAAGTCCTTTTCCCAACAGTTTCAGTAAACGTCTTCCTTTAGGTGGAATATTGTGATCAACCTCCAACATTAGCTCATTCAGGGATCTGCTGCCTCAACGTTTAAATTAAACTATCATAACATAGCCTCAAAGTTTCTCAGCCTGTGGCTCGGGACATTTGCTTTCTTCTTGTTAATGTCAACAAACCAGAAATCAGTTAGTGCCCATGTTCAGATTTCGTGACATTTGACGGCAAATGTTGTTGGTTGATACTCATACAGTTGAAACAACGTGTAAAGCATGATTTGAATGATGATGCATGTTTGTGAGATTATTCATGAGCATGATCATATTTAAATGTGTTTTTTGTTTGTGTGACCTCATCCTGAATTATTTCAAAAATCCCCCAAACCAAGTTTTTCCTGAGTTTGTTAAAAACAACATTTTCTTTCCTGTTTTGTTGTAAGTTTGTTTTCTTGCTCCCAGCATGGACTCTTTATTTCTCTCTTTCTTTTTCTAAAGCATGAGATTGCAGCACGTCTGCGTCCCTCTTGAAGAGCGCAGTCATCTTTGTCTTCCTTGCCTCTGATTGGTTCTCTTATCTACCTGTCTGCTTAAAATCTACTTCCAGTCTCAGACGTGCCACCTCCGCCTCCACCTGCAGAGGAGCCGGTGTTTGAAGAGCCCACACCTCCCCCTCCACCGCCAGAGGACTACGAGGACGATGAAGATGAAGAAGAGTCGGCGGTGGTGGAGTACAGTGACCCATATGCCGAGGAGGATCCGCCCTGGGCCCCACGTACCTACCTAGAGAAAGGTCTGTTTTGTTTTTTATCTTAATAACTCTTCTGGATTTAAAATACTGCTCTTTGGGTTTGTACCATTTGAGTTTCACAGCATGAGTTTGTGAAGACATCTATTGTTGAGCTGCTTTTTATTTTTAAGGAAGCCTTTCCTAGTGAACAAGGACTGTGGTATGTTGAGATAGTGTAGAAGATAACATCAATATTTAAGACAAGGAGATGTAGAGTTCTTTGAATGAAATCTGCCTGATGACACGCAGCAAAGTTCAAAGGGTTTGAGGTGACCGGGCGCTGCTGCATTGAGGACTTTGCCTCTGTATGAAGTGCGCCTACTCTACAAACTGAGCTAAACATGAGGACCACAGTAAGTTTTATTCAAAGTACTAAGAAGGCAAGTGACTTCTCCCTCTTAATCTCCCCTACAGTGGTGGCAATCTACGACTACAGCCGAGACAAAGAGGATGAACTCTCATTCCAGGAGGGCGCCATCATCTACGTGATCAAGAAGAACGATGACGGCTGGTACGAGGGCGTGATGAACGGGACCACGGGCCTCTTCCCCGGCAACTACGTCGAGTCCATCATGCACTACGCCGACTGAACAATCCCCAACATCGGAGCAGATGAAGGGCAGGAGGAAGAGTTGTTGGATTAGGGAAGGGGAAAAAGGGGGAGGGAGGGGAGCCAAGGGTTAACGGTCAAAGACTTTGATCAGACAGAGCATGATCACCTCCGTGCGAAGAACGAAAAGAGACGGGGGGGGAAGAAGTTTTTAAAGAAGTTGCAACATGACAAACTGAAGCCCGGTCACTCTCTCGACATAGACGCCATTGTAAAACAACCACTACTCTAGATATATCCTTCCCTGTAATATTTTTTTCTTTGATTCCTTATTTGACTGACCGGAGAGGACGGTGATGGATTTATTGTATTTTCAGAGTTTGTGTTACATTATAAGAGGTCACTACATTGATTTTTGCTTTACTTTTTCTTATGTTTTACCAATTTGCCCTTATTTTAAAGTATATTTATTTAGATTTTTGTAGTGGAAGAAATGGTGAAGAGGAAGATTTGGGCTGCTGAGTTGGGATTTCCGCTACGCGGCCTCGGAGAAAGGGCTGGAGGGGAATGCCTTCAATGTGTAGATTTTCTCCATAACACTCCAGAGACTTTTTAGAGAATTAACTCCTCTATATTTACAGTATAATGCAACAACAATATCCTCGGTGGGGGGAACAAACAGTAGTTTCCGTATGTACGAAAATATTTGTTAGGTACCTCAGCAGGGAGCGTGCCAAAGCTACATTCACTTAGATAAAAAAAGCACATGACATGTCTAAAAGGTGACACAGGAAGGGAGTTAAAGTAGGTCTGAAAAGACGTCTAAACAGAGAGTGCTTTAAACACAGATTTTTGCATCTTTTTTTTTTAATTAAGTTTAGTTCAAGCCACAGAAACCCAAAGGAGCAAATTTAGTATCTCCATGCTTCACTTTTTCTGCGCGTTTTCCAGTGAAGGAATCGTCATCCGGCCCTCGATTAAAGAGGAAAACAGGATCCACAGTTGCACAATAACCGGGATTTTGAAGTCTGCAGCTCCTCTCATGAATATAGAAGTGTATTAGCTTGAGTGCTAATCATTTGAAGTGTTCATAGAATGCATTTGAGACAGTTCTTTATTTTTCTGTTTCACCAACGGGTCCAGAATCGAGTTTTTGCTTGCAGAGCAGCATGTTTGGAAGAGGGAAAAATCTTCTTTTCTGCTCTACTGATGATTAATGTCTTAATAATTTTAGATATGTTGTGGTTTGGTTTTTAATATTCACCCACAACGACGATCACTACGATGCATTTAGGTCATAACTAAGACGCTTGTGCCATATTGAAGTGCGTGTTGCTGTTCAGAGGTTCTCACTTCATTTGCAATAAATCGACCGGAGTGGAGTGTCGTTGAACTACAGAAACGTTTCTTTTCAAAGTTAATCCCAGAGTTGTTTTAAATCAAAAGCACATACATTTGTCGTAAAAAGGTGTAGAAGAAGAAATAATATAAATGTGAGATGTGTTATGTCCTCAAAGCAGGACTTATTGAATATGAAAAGAAGCCAGCTGTTGTGTTGAAATGGTTTTAACCGTCGCAAGCCCCCGATACTTCTCAACGCCGTCGGTGTAGGCATCGTTCATCCTCCGTAAAGTTTCCGATGCGCTTGGCTGTTGGGTGTTTACGAGGGCTCAGTGCTTGTACTTATGTCAGAATCTTTATTTTCTATTAAAAAAAAGAAAAGAAATAATAACAAGTGGGTCTGTATGTGAGTCTTGCATGCCATTGTTCTTATCTGTACTGGTGTCCCAAAAAACCTTAAGTGGCCAGATCACCCATCCTTAAAAAGACAAGCAGCCCTTCAGCTCCGACCAGGAACCACCAGCCTCATCCAAAGAGACTGTAACTGTCCGAGGAGCCACGCTCTGACCTGAGGGGGAGGGAGGGGAAGGGAGGGAGGGACCCGGCTTTCTCCCCCCTCTGACTGTAGCCGCCTGTTACGTCCGTGTTGAAAAACCCATGTCTAAGCTGCTATTGAATCCTGCGGACAAAGAAACGCCCCCGAGGTGAACGATGATAAATGTAACACTCAAGATTAAAGCTCGTTTCATAACACTCCTTATATGACACTTTAAAAAAGATCAAATAAAAGCCCTCGGTCTGCAGGATTCACAGCTCCCTGGAGTCACAGACGTCCCTTGGGATGTTGAGTTTAACAGTCCATGATGCCATTGTGTTGCACAGTTAAAGTTGAATTGCAGAAGTATCATATTTGTAAAATCATGAGAACAAAGACAATAAAATTATTAAGATTTATGGGTGCAATAATGCTTGGTTCTTGTGTTATGAAACCATGAGAAGGTTCTGTTTTGGGGAATTTAGCCTTGAATAGAAAGGTCATCTGTCATTGCTTAAAAGAAGAATTTGTCCATTGTGGACCTTTTCAGCTTCCTTAGAGATACTCATTTAAGAGTGTCTTACTATGTTGAGAGTAATTAATCAGTATTTATTTCGAGAGTTTCTTTTATTTTAAAGTCATTTTATGTTTTTAATTATTTTAGATGGGGATTGAGATATAAGGTCTTTATTTTTAGTGAGCCTTTCATTATTTTGGGAAACAAAGTTTTGATTTTTGGAAACAATTTGTAGCCTATAATACTACAGATAATTGAGAGACCATAAATGAATTACCACCATGTAAAGGTGGAGGAACCTTGAAATGTAATTCAATAATTCAAATTTAAATTCAAAATATTATTATTATGGATAAATAAGATTGTTTAAGCTTCTTTTTTTTTCAACAACAAAAAAAAAGCCAAGCAATGACATCATCATTAGACGTGATGGGTGTCCTTGGGTGTATCCGGAAAGGGTTGAAACTTAGTTTCGTTTTCTAACAGGCACTCTTGGGTTGAACGCTTGGGTTGGACGTCGTCGCTTCTTCGTGGTTTAGATACTATTTGTGAAATTAAAAGTTGTAAGATACTCAAAACATTCAATATTAGCGTTGACGCGACTTATTATTCTGTTTTAATTACCTGAAGAGAAGATGCAACAACTGCACATGTTGGTTTTTTCTCTCGTCCTGTTTTGGATTTCGCACCCAGTCAACGCGCGTGAGTTTAAATTACTTTATATGTCGTTTTTTTACGATTTTGAATCTATATTTCAAATCTATATTGCAATCTTTAATAGTTATGTACAGTCAGAAATGAATAGGCAACCTTGTTATTTACTTATTTACGCATACAACACTTAATTTAAACTGCGTCACTACGCGACCATCCAAACACGTCTTGTTTCATTCAAATATATGTACAGCAGTAAAAGGTTAGCTATAATAGTATGAAGTTATTTCAAAAAGTTATTAATCATGTAAACCTCAAGGGAAGTACTTGAATTTGTATTTAGAAAGATTCCAGCACTAAATGTTGATACCATTTTGGTTTTAGTCTATTGTGTAATAATAGTGTTGTATATTTCAGGATCAGGACAGAAAATTGGATTGGTATAAGACAGAACAGAATATAAAAGACATTGAAACGTGTAATTTAAAGATAACTTGTGTTTGACGTTGTCTTTTTTTGTTTTGCAGTTGAAACAGTGTATGGTGCAGAAGGTGATGACATTGTCCTCACGCCACCTCTTCAGTCTCCGTCTCCTTCCATCACAAGCATTCAATGGAAACATGGAGAGGACATGGTTGCAGAGTGGTATGAAGTGTATGGAACTGAGACATATTGTCTTACCAAGTTCAAAGGTAATTTCACTTACACTAAATAAGTTTATCTACACCTGAAAACACAACAAGAACCTTAATCCAAGTGAAGGTTTTTAGGTTTGTTTTGTTTGAAGGTATTTATAATTAGACCCCTACTTTGTGCTGAATGAATGGATGACATTCTATAAAAAGGCTTTCATGGGCAGACCATTAGAATAAGAGGGGGAGATGCATCCATTTAAGTCCATTTTTTAAGTGCAGGTGTTGCTTTCATTTGTTTCCACTTATCACTGGTGTTCATTCATTATGTTTCAAATTATTTTTACTCAGCATGTTTAGCGACCCTAAAGTTTAGTTTTATTTAATGGTTTGATGATTATAGGTCGCTGCAAGCTGAATCGTTTGACCGGGGCGCTGACAATCACAGGACTGACTAAAACCGACAGTGGAAGCTGCAAACCTGAGATCAACAACAAATACCTCGACTCAACTCATCTCATCGTCATCTGTGAGTGACTGAACTTTAAATTAATTTTGGTCAGTAAAGAAGTTTTTATATTTTCAGACTGAGAGCAACAAGGTCTGTTTTCTTTGTTCTTTGTTGTATCAGCTCGTGTCCCTAAACCCTCCGTCTCCGAATCATGTAACACTGAGATGACCGCCTGTAATCTGACCTGTGAAGGCAACACGATAGAATCAGAACCCGTCGACTGTAAGTGGCTTCTAGATGAAGCAGTGGGACCTTCAGGCAAGGTGTTGACCATAACAAAGGTATGAAAAACCAACAACACTCCAGTCAGCCTGAGCCGATGAGTAGGATCACTCCAAATCCATCATTCATGACCTTTTTTTAACTATTCAGTTTTATGTCCTGAAAATCTGTGTTCATGATTATCTTTCACTCAATTTCTAGGAGATGAAGGAGCAGAGTTACCGTTGTGTATTTGTCAACCCAGTCGGCAACAAAACCAGTGATATCATGACAAACCCCTTACTCAAAGGTGAGCTGCCACACCAACAAATATCAACCTCATTTACACCGTTTATATGGTTTTATAGCTTTTTTTAAACATCACTCTGCATTATCTAACAGCATACACATACATTTCATGTTTTATTTATTCATTCTTCTTTTTTTAGCAGAAAATGTCCACTTGGTAAGAATCCGCTGGCTAATAGCAGCAGCAGGGGTTCTTTTGTTTTTTTCGGTTCTTGGGGTTGCAGCATACCTCATCTACAAACGCAGAACTGGTAAGAAGCCACAAAATTCAAAGTCTCCTTTTTAGATCTTTTTATTCTTAGCTTTAAAAAAACATCATTTATACATCATTGTAAAATGCAGATGAACTATTTGTGGTTATTAACTGGTGAACTAGGTGATGGTGTTACTACAATACTTTTGACTTGTAACAGGATTTCTTTGATGAATTGTTTGAACAGAAGTAAAGTGATATCATGTTCAATGATTCCTTTGTGTTTTATTTGATAGCGAGAGGTTCATATGGATTCGTACCCACCAAGGAAGAAGACAACAACGTTATAAGTGAGTCAAATGTGAAAGATATTAAAAACTGTGACAGTCGGATCTTTGAACATTTCTACTACTACAACCTGCATTTTGTGAGAGATGTTTTCTTACATTTATTTTGTATTTGTTGTTTCAGAGGTCCATGTACCACCAACCACTCAGGACTCAGATTCTCTCTGCAATGGATCTGGTGTGTAAACGTTGTTTAACAAAATGTATAAGGTTTTAAAACTGTTGTAGAAAGAGACGCATAGGAACAGAAAAGCTTTGTTTATCCTTTAAACTAGAGCTTTGAACTAGAGCTTTCTGTCACGGAGAAATTGTCTTTATCATTTATTTTATTTAAATTGTTTTTAACAGTGATCCCAGAGGAGCAAAGGGCATCCAACGAGCCTTCAGATTCTATTCCGCTCCAAAGTGTCTGCAATGGAGCTGGTGAGTGAAATAATACTATAAAGATAAAGATAAACTTTATTGATCCCCCGTGGGGGAAATTTGTGCATTACAGCAGCTCCAGAAAACAGGAGATGGGAATATACTTATAAAAAATAAAAATAGAAGTTAAAAACAGATCAAACATATTTACATCATTTAAATAAAAAAATACAATAATGTAAAGAAATACAATAATGTACTATAGATAATACTGAATATAAGAACAGTACCTCAGTATATAGTTCAGGTACCTGAACTCTAGTATTTCCTCTAGAGGTTTTTGGGGTTGCAGCATATCTCATTGACAAACGCAGAACTGGTAAGAAGCCAGATTATATTGTGTGTATTTCAAATATTTTCAGTAATGTTGTATTTCTCTCGTCAGTTATGTGACATCCGTCTTTATTTAAGGAGTTCCAGTGGATTCTTTCTGCTTTCACTTCATAAAATAGGCGGGAAAACGCTTAACAAACATCTTTAGTAATGAATAATGATGGATTTATATTTGTTTATCTTGAATACAGGAACAGAGATAACCAACAAGATATTCAATCTGTTATCCACATGAATCATTTTATTTTCTTCTCAGCTGTGCTCTGTGAAATATAAATATATATATATATATATATCACATACAAACATAGTAGCAGTATACCAGTCTGTGAAGACAGTCGGAATGAGATTTGATCCAATACATGAGGAGATACAAGAAATAAGTCCAAGACGAGTCGACAGTGACACAAAATTCAAAGTCTCCTTTTTAGATCTTTTTATTCTTAGCTTTAAAAAAACATCATTTATACATCATTGTAAAATGCAGATGAACTATTTGTGGTTATTAACTGGTGAACTAGGTGATGGTGTTACTACAAGAGACGCATAGGAACAGAAAAGCTTTGTTTATCCTTTAAACTAGAGCTTTGAACTAGAGCTTTCTGTCACGGAGAAATTGTCTTTATCATTTATTTTATTTAAATTGTTTTTAACAGTGATCCCAGAGGAGCAAAGGGCATCCAACGAGCCTTCAGATTCTATTCCGCTCCAAAGTGTCTGCAATGGAGCTGGTGAGTGAAATAATACTATAGATAATACTGAATATAAGAACAGTACCTCAGTATATATTTCAGGTACCTGAACTCTAGTATTTCCTCTAGAGCTACAGTTACTCCTCACACGTATTTGATTGTTGTCTCAACTCAAAGGAAAGGCATCAGAGATTTCATCCAACAATGACCTGACGACTTCTACATCCCCAGAGGCCGGCAAGGAAGCTGGTGAGATAAATCACATCTAATAGGATAAAACACTGTCTTGATATTGTATCCATATAAAATGAACATGTTTTATGTTGTATCAGATATCACATCGGAGATGGGTCCAGAATCCCCCCAGGATTCAATCACTCCAGAGACCGGCAAGGAAACTGGTGTGTTAAACTGTATTTTAACTTATAGGATCAAACGAGTCAAACCATTTCTCCCTTAAAATTCAAATACTTCTATGTATCAATGAACAGAGATCACATCTGATGTGGTTGAGAAGTCTGACGAGAACTCAACGACTCCTGCTTCCCCCGCCAGCAGCCAGGAAACAGGCGAGTCCAATTTAAACACACTCCATGTCCGATCAACATACTATTTTTTTCTTACTCTTATCTTAGGGTATATTTTAAGATTATGTTTGTATTCATATCAAATGTGTTCCCCACTTAATTAATTTAGTTTTTGCAACAAACAACTTGATTCCATTTTTATAGGACTTCAGCACAGAAACAGCATCAGCAGCTTTACATTCACATTTTTCAAAATGAAGCCAAGAGCAAGGTGTATTTACTCTTGCACACACAGCAAATTTATGAATAAATGAAAAATGACATAGATTTTTAGTATTATAATATATAATTATGTGTAATTATAATAATTACTTGGGCGGCCCGCCTAAGTCTGTCTTCATCTTGCTTATAATAGTTGTAAATACATAGTACTTTTATCTTTATTTGTATTTATTCCTATATATTTTTATTTTATTAATACTCATATGCATGATCTTCCTGTTGTCTTTTACTGCTGCAGCACTTGAATTTCCCCACTGGGGATCAATAAAGGATTATATTATCTTATCATGTATGTGTAGGAAACACTGAGTTTAACACTATGTCGTACATAACCCCTAAAATAAGCTTTATTTGATCTATAATCAATAAAATAGAATAAAAACAACACTGTGTCTCTATCATCTGATAATCCTACGTTACAGTATTATTTGTCTGTTTGTATTTACATACATCACTAGAAAGCTGGATTTATTTAACAGCTGTGTTGGAGTCCCATGTTGGATACATTTGGCACATTTAAATAAGAACTAACTAACATCGGGCATTTAGGTTTTTATTTGGTGTGATCTCTATTTAGTTTAAAGCACAAATGAGAGATGTATGAAAAGAGAAAGAGACCAGTGTTTACTGCATCTGTTCAGTTTTTTTATTGAGGTTAGAAGAAAAAAATCAGACTGTTCTGCCTTTAGATGTGATTTTTTTTTTTTTCATCCTTTGACAGGTGACCTGGCAACGAAGCCACCCGACCAAGAACAAACCAACCAAGAGCCACCAGCAGCTGAACAGGAAGCAGATGATGCAGGAGATCTCGACGAACACTAAAGTATTTTCAGTTCTTTTGTTCTGTAACTAAAATAATAAGAGTCTGCTCTATGTCAAGATGTTACAGTCAAGACGTGTGAATGTGTAGACAGATGACTACTCCTGCAAGACCAAGTTTCAGGATGTTCTTTTTATCTCTGATGTTTCATTAGTACTTCATGCAGTGTGTCTGTAAAGTCTTCCTGTTCAGGGATCACAACGATGAAGGAGGGACATGTAAACAAATAGCTGCTGTTTGGTCACACCTTCAACATTTCAAAGTCACTTTATGTGTTTCAGGAGCACAGAGTCATAGGAGTGTCCTGCTGCTCTAGTCCAGTGCAACATGATTGTAAGAGTGTGGTCAAAATGTAGTTATCAGATGTAGGGTAGTTGTTCATATGAAGAAGGCAAAGGGTGACACGAAGTACTTTGAAAGGTCTTAGAACACATCTGCCACTGTTTCAAGACAAACACATTCAATAAGTGACCTTTGTGTTGAGCTGAAACATCAAGTTATTTATAAATCTTGCACACTTCCACTTCTTCCTCTTTTGGGATAAAAAAGACTTGTGCTCCTTCTAACGCAAACCTCACAGGCAGTGATCTGCTCTTTATGCAAACTGACTCGTTCAAATATCAACATCATGCAGGGCTTTCTGACAGCTGTTTTTAACATGATGAGTGAATATATTTTCTTCTTTTAGTAGTTTATGGGACGTTAGCCCTCTGTACATAGACCTCACGAGTCACGACATAACTGCTAGGCTATCAGTGCTCCTTACAACAGATTATCATCAGCAAAAAACATCTGCAGGTTTTATTCCAACTGATCTGACTCCTGAAGTTACTCATTTTAAATCATCCTCAGTGAGTGTTTTGGTCAGATTGTGGCTGAAACAAAGAAAAGGGACTGTTTTGATATCTTTGTGATTCCTTTAAATTTTGATATCACCACCAAACCTCAACATTTCATAGCATTTATTAACTGCCTTTTTACAATGTAGAACATGAATTATTACTTGTTTTTTGTAGCAACAGAAACAAGCTCCAGGTGCTTCGTCCCTTAAAGTGACTGTTTCTAAACTTGAATGGTGCAAAAAAGAACTGAGACAAACAATCAGCCTCCTCCGAGGCGCAGTGTAAATCAGATCCCTGTTGCAACTTGAATATTTATCAGGTCTTAGTCAATGTTTTATTTTGCACCAAAGGCCAACACCTTAAGTCACTTTGAAAAGCCAAAGCCCTTTTGAATCTTTAGTATGTATCTGCAGCTGCATTTGTCATTTAAACTTCAGAAAAACAAAACAAAAACAGATTTTCAAAAGTCTTAAATAGCATCTATTTTTCCAACCGCAGGAACATTATTATTGGCAGAGTATTCCAGAGTTTGTTGCACTTACAGGCATTTAATAATGTAAAAAATATATATATATTTATTAGGATTGTTTTTAGATTTTGTAAGGTAAACACTTTTTAGATGCTAGCATGCCAAAAAGAAGAATTGTATATTTTTGAGGTAAAGAAATTAAATATCTGTGTTCCACGAGGGAGGCATTTTAGTCGCCACAACAGCGTGACATATTTTCATAAAGGGAAGAAGACAACCTATTTAAATTATAAAAGATCATTCATGTATTTTCTGCTTCCAAAAAATGTATTGCAAAGTGAAAACATGCTACCCCCAGCTGTATTTCCCCCACAGTATTTATCTTCTATCTGCTGCTGTAGTTTCACTGTTGACCACTAGAGGGCATCATACAGCTACTATGAAAAAACTGTCAGTTCTTTTTTATGGACTGCTGGTAAAGATGGTCGACACACTGAATGTTTAATGTTTCCTTTTTTGAATCCCTTCATTAACATGAATCAGTTTGGTGTTTTTCTACCACACCTGCTTTAAATTAGTGAAACAGAAAAATCATGGAAACGATTGTTCAATCTCTCATCTCTCATCAACTGGAAAGAAATACTTCCTATGTTTTTCTATGATGTAGAAGTCTACTAACGCAGTTAATAATAATGTGCCATCTTTATAGACAGTCTATAAGGCAATTCCATGAATTGAATGTAAATAGTTTTTTTTTATGTTTTTAGCTACTGAGGTTTCATTGGTAGAATGAGGATTGTTTGCTTTTCTCTTTTCTTTAAATTATGATCCTGTCTTGTATATATTGAGTTAGCATATTTAAGTCTTTGTAGATAGTTACTAATTTATGTTTGAGATCTGTTACAATGTGATCTGTTACAATGTGATCTGTTACAATGTGTCCCAAGTCCAAACTGAACACTATTTCTATTCAGTATGTTTTAAATACTGTTTTTCAACGATTTAGCAATAAAAACACGTCACCACTTTACAATAACATGTGCAACGCCAGGCTTCCAGAAAGTACTCTAACAGAGCGATGGATTCATCATGTTTGTTTTTAACACTTTTTAAATTTATTATTTCCCCCACATGAGCAGCTTCTGCAGCTTCTTTGTGACCTTTTCTTTGTCAAGAACACTCCAAATTAAACCCTTTTTAAAACGGCTGCAGACTTAATTGAGGTGACGTTTTTAGATTCTTGAACAAACTTTGCAGAAAACCTGTGCTGTATGGATTTGGGACTTGGAGAATAATGTGTGTGATCTAAAGTGTAACAGTGCTTGAAAACAACACTTTGGTAAATAAAGCACAAAGCGTGTTGTTGATTTGTTGCCATAGCTGAGATTATATCACGACTGAAGTGACACCACACCTACAGGTGCCTCGTGTTATCAAACTGTGACTAAGTACAGTGTCATATATCAGCATGAAGGTGTGGTCTGAAGGTTTCATGCTGCAGCTACAGTCGTGTTTGTTTGCACTGAAACTCTGAGAAATCAATTATCAGTATCTCAAGTGTTGTAGATTGTTTGAAAGACTGAATGTGCAAAATGTTTGTTAAAACATATTTCTTGCAGTGTATTACATTCCAAACAGCTAGATTTATTTTTATGAATAAATCAAAATTGAGATCAAAAGAGGAAATGTGTCTTATTCATTTGCAATTGTTTGTTCTTTATTTGTGGCAATGTTGTTTCCTGAATGCTAAAACTTTTCAAGTTGAAGGACTTTTTGTTGTCGCTCTGGTCATCAAAGGGAGCACAGGTTTAAGACACTTGTGCAGCAAAGAAATATTTAAGCTACAAGCACTTCTTTTTTTATTATATTTTTTTGTCATCTAGAAGCATAAGTATGATTTCAACTCCCAACTAGATTTCTGAGTTTGATTTCTTTATGATTTAATATATAGTATCACTGTTCACTCTTCAGTATTGTTTACAACTTATTTGTAACTCTGACTGTAGCCGCCTGTTACGTCCGTGTTGAAAAACCCATGTCTAAGCTGCTATTGAATCCTGCGGACAAAGAAACGCCCCCGAGGTGAACGATGATAAATG